CCAATGGCTTGAGGAACAATCTCTCTCCAAACCCTAACTCTATCAAGCATCAAACAACAACACACACTAACAATATGCTTGAAGTACACATAAAATAATTCTTCCTTTAGTTTTTGTGTTGATTCTTTGGGATGAAGGAGGGGTTGTTGGACAGATATCCAACTATTTAACCAATTCTAAAGAGCGGAGTTCTCTAGAAGTTGATTATCTTTCCAAGTGTTGGAAAAGTAAACACTAGCTGCTTACATATCAATGCTTTTGATGTAATGAGGAAGTGACCAGTAGAAAGCACTGGTGGAACAATTCAGCAGCTCCTCTTTCAAATGATTCACATGAATTTGATTTTCTTTGTCCTCAGAAAATCTAACTTACAGTTTCATTTCACTATTTACTTGGATTCATTGAAACATGGGGTGTGATATCCACACACCCCTTTTTACTTCTCCCACACCTTTTTGGTTTTCGGCTGTCGGATCGGATGAATTGAAGAAGATCAACGGACAGAAATTAACAAGGAGTGTGTGCGAAGTAAAAAGGGGTGTGTGGATAGCACACCCCTTGAAACATATGCACACTTACTATTCATAGATTTCAAATTAAAATTTTGAGCAAATAGCCAACAAGTGTACATTACCTTCTTACCCGGAAAAATTAACTCAGCCTTTGATCTGGACCGTGTCAAGACACGTACACTATGATTATCTGCATTACAAATTGGATCGAAAGAACGTTCAGGTGGTGAAACTATGGACATGTAGTATGAGTTTCAGCTTCATAGCAATAAGTATTAGGCAACGTAATCATAGTTAATGCAACCAAGCAGCACCACAACCTTGAATTCATTTGATTTGGTTGTAAATGCACCTTGTTATGCATAAATACTGAAAGATATGCATGTCCATTCTTGCTCGCACCAGTAAAATGAGGACCAAATCAAGTCATTGGGAAATAATCAATCCGAGGTGGATGCACGAAAATAAGGTATAACAACAACAGAATGGAAGCACTACGTATAAGCCTGCAAGATTTTTATAATAGTGGAGAAGTAGAATGAGCATAACCTGCATGCAGCCTTTGCACCAATCTTCTCCCGATAAAACCCGTAGCTCCAGTTATTGATACAGTCATCTGATTTGCCTAAGACAACCTACAAAGAGTCAATATCCAACACACAAAATGCAACCTATAAATGCTCAAATATATTCTTGTGACGTTCCAGCTTTTTTAACTACACACATAAATGCAATCACCCTAAATCATCTGATTTCTCACTGATCCTCAACCACTGTGTTATATAAAAAGGGCTGATGATAAGTAACTTTGCGAAGCCCACTCCCTACAACTTTTGGGCCAAATTGCAATGCAAAGAGGTGGTAAAAGTGAAGCTAGTTAACCATGTGGGTTAGTTGAGTTGGTGAGGGCAATGTGTGCCCTCCTTACACCCAAGTTCGAATCCCCCTCTCCCCCGCAAATTAGAATAGTTTAGAATATCGCTTGCGTCAAATATAAAACATATTAAATTCTAGTAAATATTGAATTGACCAAGTAAATTTGTATCGATATGAACAGAAAAGTACGTGTGTGTGTGGAAGGATTCATGTTGAAGAGCATTACCGTCTGGGTTTGATCAGAGGCACACCAAACACTGAGCCTCAGAGTCCCACACTTCTAAAAGTCCAGAAAAACACAAAAAAAGATCAGAAACAAAAACAAAGGAGAAATTGGAGAAGTGGGTAGTGAGATACTCACAGAGAGGGGCAGAGAGACGTGAGGAGGGGTGGAGACAGTGTGGGTCCATGAGAGAGCAGTGGCTCCACAGAGCTCCATTGCTGCAGCGGCTTGCAAGCTCTCTCTTTCTACTAAAACAAGATGTTTTGTTTCTCTTTTCTGAGATGGCGGTGAAAGGAAAGGCTAAATCACCGAGTCCGAGTCACCCATAAATGGCAATGTGTTTGATTTCGAACCACACCCAAATTACCCAAAACCAACCAACCACCCATTTCCATCGATTGCCTCTTCTCTTTTGTTTTTGCTCAGTCATTTCCATGGATTTTAGGTCTGATTTGGTATTGCTGTTCTTTGAAAAAAAGCTGCTGTGAGAATAAGCGGCTGTGCTGTGAGAATAAGCGGCTGTGAAATAAAGCCAGTAGAGTGTTTGGTAAACTTTTTTGTGAAAGTGCTTTTGGAAAAAAAAGCAGGATGATAGTGTGTCTTTTCATTAAAGGAGCACTGTAGCTCCGTGTGCTTTGAAAAAACTGGCTTTTTTTCAAAGCAGCAAATAGCAGCTTCAGCTTTTCCTTTGATTTTCAGCTTATTCTCACAGCAGCTTCCAAAATAAGCCCTTTTTTTTCAGTTTACCAAACACAAAAATGACCCTCAGCTTTTTTTCACAGTGGCTTTTTTTAAAATCACCTCAATCCCAAACGGGGCCTTAGTGACACATTTTTAGAGGAGTGCTATCCGGAGAGTTCAAATTTATTGTAATGTTATAAATAAGCAAAAGTTAGAGAAATAACTTTTGTTAGGATAGAAGCGAAGCGGGTGCAAAAAATCATATTGTCTAATTTCGTAATTATAATATAAAAAGATTGCAGGTAGAAGGAGAAGGAGAAAGGGAGGGATATTGATTTTATTGCTTTCAGTTCTTTTCTTTCCTTTTACTGTGTGTATTGTGATCACACAAAGTGTTCTTTATATAGAGCAACATTCGTGACAAACCAAACAAACAATATGTTTACACTTTTTCAAAGTATCACACAACTACTATTACCCTACTATCACTTTTTGAAAGTATTACACAACTATTATTACCATATTATTCTCAAGTCTACCTCACTTTGGGCATTCATTCATCCTTACAATTTTACAACATATAATAATGAAAGGATTGAAAATTTAAACTCAGAGCGCTCAGAGTGCATGAGTTGAAATTCAACATTCTATCCACCTTCTTGACATTTTAAATAACATTCCTTCTATGAAAAAAAAAAACAAAAGAATCTACCAATTCAACAAGTAAAGTTTTTGGTTTCCTAGCTCGACTATGAGGGTGTTTCCTATTGTGATGAAGCTAATTGGATCAAATGTTACGTGCAACTCTTTGGAAGAAAAAATGGCAGCAACTATTTGAAATAAAATAGCCGTTAAGCAAGCATTTTATTGTATACTATTGAATGATGGCAGCAAAAACATGAAGTTGATCGTTAATTTTTAAAATTATTATTATTATTTGTGTAATTCAATAAGGATATTATTTCTAACTCTAAATAAGTTAAATATGACTTTGCACTTGACTCCAAAGTCATATATAACTTCAATTTTATCGGTACATTGAAGAACGATTGTGTTACATTTGGAATCAAATATGACTTTTGACTCTAAATTAAGTTTATATGTTGTTTATAGAATCTGACATGAAATTTTTGTTATGTTTTTTAAATTTGAAAAAGAGAGAGAAAAAAAAAGGAGATAATTCTCTGATGTAATTTGCAACGCCCATTTTTCAATTACGTAATATAATTAGAAACATAATGGACTTGGGCTTTTATTCAATCCGGGCCTACAATACAACCCAACAGCGCAAGCCCACTCTAAAACTAAAATACTTGATAACAGCTGCTGTTAGTGGTGAATAAAGTGGAAGAAATGGCGATGATGGTGCAGTGGTGCGGCGCAGCGGCGAGGCGGGTGTTGATGGCGGAGCAGCGCGCCCTCTTCACAACCTCATCCTCCTGCGCGGCGGTAGCTGCAGCAATTGCAAAAGAGAATGTGCTCGGGGCGCCGATGCTGTGCGGGCGAGGAGACAAGAAGACGAAGAAAGGGAAGCGATTCAAAGGGTCGTTCGGAAACGCTCGGCCGAAGAAGGAGAAGATGATCGAGCGCATCAAGGACAAGGTTGAGGTGCCCAGGTCCACCCCTTGGCCTCTCCCTTTCAAGCTCATCTGATTTTTTCAAATTTTCACTCTCTTGTTTCTTAGGATTTTAGCTCCTTATATTTAACGTCGAACTCCCTAATTTTTTAGGGTTTTAAGTGTAGTGTACAATTTTTTTTTTTTAATGTCAATTCATATTTCGGATATATATGTTTCAATTGTTAATTGTTTGTTTGATGGGTCTCTTGGTGGTGTAATTTTGACGTCTAAAACCACAAAATGCATGATAAGATTTGAAACTTTGATTGAAAGCTACTTACAGTTGCTCCCCGACTGCACCCAAGTTCGAATCCCCCTCTAGATTGGATTAGGATGTCGCTCGAGCTACTGAGAATGGAAATGTCGGGACTTTTGGTGTTTAACTGTGCTATTCATTCTTATTGGGGTTAAGAATGAAAATAGTGATTGCTGGTGCAGTAGGGATTTGATCTGCATACTGTGAAGTACTTCCATTTCTCAGGAGCATTTAGCATGGGATTCGGGTTTAGGGGTTCTAGCTTCGGGTTCTGTTTGCATGTATTTTCAGTATATCATCTTCTAAGTCCATGTTTCAGTTAATTGCTTGAGTAACTTAGAAGATTTTCAGAAATATATTGAAGCAATTTTGTTGGAGCGGAACTGACAAAAAGAGATAACGGCAATACTAGGCGGAAATTGTGAACTAGGTACGTAAATTAGAGTTTGGACTGGTTGGTGAAATGTGAGTGTAGCATATAAGGATGGTTTGTGCTTTTGATAAGATGGACACCAACTATTTTGAAAATGCTTTATGCATAGGAATAGGCATCATGAGTTATGATATTCAATTTGTGAGCCGTTTGAAAACACATTGCTGTTCAATTTGTGACACTAGATGCTTGCCTATGGTATTATTCCAAACGTCGGTGTGGTTCTACATGGATAATAATGGTTTTGGTAGAACTTAGTTGCCTCAGTATTGTTCCTGATCGTCGAGTCAATTAGCTAGATAAATGTTGTTAATTGATGTATAATGCTAATTTTGATTGAAAGCTAGTGACTTCTTGCCTATCCCCCAAATCATTTTGACTCTTGCTAGGCATGGAGGGCAAACCTTATAGGCAACTTAGATTTTCCAATTACCAATTGCAGATTGTCGGATGGTTCATAAGTTGGTAGGGAATTAAATGATAGGACATGATTGATAGAGCATCTGATACCAAAAACCTTTCCATCTTTGTAGCTGATGCCCTGGAGCTATACTCGCAGCTTAAATCAGAAAATATAATTAGTGCAAAATGAGCTTAATCTACTTTCTAATCGAAAAGAGCATTGTATTTAGTATTTACACATTGTATGGTGTATTATAGCAGTGTCAAACAAAACATGTGACGTTTATTATGCATACTTGATGATTAACAATTTCATTTTTCTCTGTCGTTTGGAACTGCTTTGTCAACTCGAGCGCTAGCTCTGCAATTATGCAGAGTCCGATGATAGAGTAAGTGAAGCCAAACATAATAGTCACTACACCAACTGGGGATGCTAGAGGAAAATATTTGTCTTCTCTTCTAGGTTCAGTTGCAAGCCTAAGTCCAGTGTTAATTGCCCATGCTAGCATGACCATTGCGATGATACTCACGACTATGCGGCTGACGATACATATCGTCTTCAGCTTCCCTGCTGCATCATCAGAAATCGAGTGAGATAATAGTTGTCGAAGGTAAAAAGTTCAGATGAATGAATTTCATAAGTTTAGAAGCCATTGAATGTACTAATGAACTCTTTAGCTTTTCATGTGTGTTTGGATTATATCATATGTTTATGTATCTACCTGGAGAAAGACTTAACTATCCTGGTTTCGTACACCCCCGCCCCTCCTCTAATCTCACTCAGATCATGTGATGTGATGATAGAGATGGAATGGGTGTATGAAACCGTTGCGTGTAATTTTCTCGCACCCCTGAAGTTAACACCTGTTTCTTCGTTTTAAATTCCTACTTTCGGCGTTGGTTATATTACCTTGATTTTGAGGTTTCCTGGTCTCCTCCTGCTTCCTCTGCAATTGTTCTGAGAATTTTATGACCAAGTCTACCAGTAAAGGAAGACCAGCAACCAAAAACAGGAAACCGAGAACTATCGTCAGAAGTCCGACGCAGAATGCCCAGTTGTTCGCCTCCCTTTTTATCCCCGGCCTGTCTGCAGGCCCAGATTCCGACGTAATGGTCCACAGGAACAGAACTACCATGAGCAGAGACGTCAACACAGGAAACAATGTTGCACATAGGGTTTTGGCATCTCTACTTACCTTCAACCCCAAGGCTCTTATGCCTTCTTCCTCCATCTTCGGCCCGCCGGAGTTCGAGGAGAGAAGAAGAAAAACAGAGAAGAAACAAAAGAAATGGTTCTGGCGCTGAGAAACTAAAAAGGGTTATGGTTTAATGGATCACGCCAGATAAATGGGGGAAATTTTATGTTGTAAGTTAGTTGGGTCATCACTTAATTCAAATTTAAATAAACATGACAGAGATTGTGGTAATTAGCCGTGCTTTATTACCTAACACCCAATTTATGAGTAAAATGCCCTCTTGCCACTTGGTTTTGTTTTGTTGACCATTATCATTTATTTTTAAATGGTGATTCATGAGCCTTATTTTATCTTTCACACATCCTGCTAATTTCTGTCTGATCATCTTCAATTCATTTGATATGATGTTCAAAACTTGAAAGAAGAGTGCGGATAGCACCACTTTTATTTTTTGAAAAATGATGGAATAATTTATACTAGTTATTTAAACTACAGTAATATGGGAGAATTTAAACCCGAAACTTAAAAACTTAAAAAAAACAAGTACTTTATTTACTAGAATAATCCACCGCTTATTATTGCCATGCTTACATCAGTCATGAATATTCAAAAGAAAGAAAATGAAGATAGAGGATTATGGGCCAATATTCACAATTAAATGACAAGAGACTTTTGGTATTAGGACACTAGGTATTAAATTGCGTTTTCCACAGTGAGAGCACTTTGAAATGGACACGTCACATCTTCAAGTCTTGAGGTAGTGTTTTACCTTTTTGGTTCGTTTCCAATTCCAAAGGCCCTCATTTGCTTGCAGGTCATCATGGCTTGAAAGGTAATTTCAATTTTAATTATCATACCATGTCCTAATCACCCTTCAAATTCTTCAATTCAATTCAAAAGTGGACATTGTAATGATACTTGTTAGTCATAGTGGAACTCGAGTCTCCTTAATCTCGTGGCCCTTTTTTCGTCGGTGGACGAAGACCGGAAAACTAGTTAGTGCCCGTCGATGAACTTAACAATGACGAGACTGACTCGTTAGATAGAAGAAACACATACCCAATGACGCCCTATCAAACAAATGTACGTGAGTATGTGTGTGCGAGCGAACGCATGGATGCACTCATGCACCCACACTACATTACTCCAACTGCAGGTCTAGTGTCGCATATTTGCCCGCCAGCAATAACTCAGCCAAGGAAATGCAAATTACATGAACAGGAGAAAGTTGTTCATATCAAGCGTCACGCTTAATCCAATCCTGATCCTGCAGCATAAGCCGCGTTGTACTAAAACACCAAACTCACCTTGAAAGGAGAAACTAAGCATTTAAAACTATTCAAAGCTTAAATCCATCATTTACTTAAGCAACACGTCAATGATGCTGGCCTCGATTATTATCTTCTTCTTCATATTCACTCTCCATCTTGATCTGCATCGTTAAAAATACCAGACATCATCAACATAAAAATACTTATTATTTATTTATTTATTAGAAAGAAGAAGAAAAGCATTGCGTGACGGGGGAATGCTTGATGTGTGTTAAACTTCCTTCCTAGTCTCTCTCCCTCCTTCCTCCTCTAGTCCTTTGCTTTTGTCTCCATCTCCCTCTGTTTCCTTTCTCTATCAGTTTTCTAATTCTCAAAGCTAGCGCCATCAAAACGTCACAGGAAAACTTCTGCCTCGGACTTGTACCTATGGGCTTTCATGCACACACGCAAGTTAGTGGAATTTTTGAAAGTCTTGATTTTCTCTCTTTTGCAATTTTTGGATTTCTGCGAATTATATGAAAATTATATTTTAGGGCCTTCTACCTTCCACCATTTTCCCTCCAGTTATTCCTTCTCTTTGTTTCTATTGCTTAAACTCTACTTGGGTTCATATCATTTTCCCTCCAGTCATTCACTCTCTCTTCACTTTCTGTTTACCAATTTGTTTCCTTCAAATTTTCAAGATTAAGGAGTTGATACGAAATTAGTAACAAGAAACAAAAAAAAAAAAAAACTATATTTTCTTTATGACTATAATGCCCTCACAATCAACAATGTCACCAATTTAGCTGTATGAAATCGATCCGAAGACTCATTCATATTGAACTAAAAGAGGAGGGAAAATAAGATTTTGAATTTGTGGATCGTAGAAGAACAAGACCGTTATGGTAGCACTATATTTGTGATTTCCTGTTAAAATCATAAAATTACAGTAAGGCTACAAGTTATGCTCTTACTACACAAGTAACTTTAGCTATTTATTTATTGGAAGTAGGAAAGAAGAAAATGTCAGTCTAGTGAAGATGTCACCAATGTGTTAAGAAATGGTGAGTTGACAAACTGTGGCACTCGTCATGTAAAAATTAGAAAGAAGGGAAAGTGTGATTCTCAGTCTCGGAAGGGGTGAAAACTCAAGAAAGCCAATCAACTGAGCATCCAAACTGAAAAGTGTTAAAGAAACACTTATCAAGTATATAATTAAATTGCTCAACTTTATTTATTGCGAAGAAAAACATTTGAATTTTTAGTCGTTATCCTCTTTTCCATAGTCGTATACTATCTCAATCTGCATTAAACAACAAATACCACCAGGGTTAAACAAGTTCTAGGTGACCGCATTGTTCCAGGAGGGAATAGCACGATAAACAGGACCAATGCAAAGCCAAGAAATATTTGGAAAAAGTAAAGAACTTTCTACTTGCAATAGGAAGACACCCTTTTTTTGGAAACTGACAATAGTAATATTAAACAAAAAAAAAAATCGTAAGTAAGAAAACAAATTAGTGTTCTAAAGCATCCTTTTAAACTTGACCGATAACAGTATTCTATTTTCCTGAATGGAATAAAACCAATTAGTAGGTAACTAAGAAAACTCTCAAGGATCCATTATGATTACTGGGCAATAACAATACTCTATCTCCGTGAATTAAATAAAAGATGATGGTAGAACGTAAAAAATAGAAGTAAAGATGTTAAGCAAGATAAAAAGAAACTCTTAGTTTTGAGTACTCATCTAGAAATGATAATTATGTCAGCAATTATACAACTGTAACATATTAATTTTCTTCCAAAAAGAAGAACAGCAACCAACTATGAGAATACTTGTCCAATTCCACTTGTGCCCTCTGGTTAGATAACAAATGCATGACTAGTAACTAGGGACAAAGTAAACATAAAACACAACGCAAAAGTGAATCAAAAGCATGAAAATGATTGAAAAAATGTAGAAGTCCTAAAAATAGATGTGAACAAGCAATACACAGAAGCACAATGAAAAACTGAAGAATGTGTTATGATAAAATTACCCCAGCAGGTGGAGTAGGATTTCGGTGAAACTTAGAACCACCGGGGGCCCAAGGAACTGCACAGGCAAGATGGAGAGGGGAGAAGATGAGACCATATAAAACCATTAGTAAAAACATAATATGGAAAACACAGGGATTGATTAAGTAAAATAAAGATAGACCAAACCTATTAGAAGCTACAAAACCAAACTCTCAATTCAAGTTTTTATCTATGTACAAACGAGAACAAAGAAATGGTTGTAGGGATAGGTTAATAGGGTGCCATAATATTGATACCCAAAAAAAAAAATAATAATATGAGCACCAAGCTAATCAGAGACAGACATAGACTACAACAGAGACAGACATAGACTACCACAGAGACACATATAACTTTCTAAGCAATGATGATTTTGTTGCTCATCCAAAACAATTTCTCGAGCATAAGGTAGCTTAAACACACTACGAAAATTAGAGGTGAGCTGCCATCAAATCTAAAATGGTATCATACAAGCCAGTTCCAAAATCCTCTCTCACTAAACTACTACCCATATGAAAGCTTAAAAGACGTCAGAGCTTACAGGAAAAGTGAGGTCCAGAATATCAAACAAGAAACACAGAACCTAAAGACATATGCCCGGAAATTTATGAAAGCTGTTCCCTTGTTTTTCTAACTGGGGGCAAAAGCAATGAATTTATGCAAGTAAACTTGGCATTTTACGAAAGGGATTGTACCAATGTAAGGATCGGGATGGCGCCACTTATTGTAAGTGGCTTCGGCATTCGCTATGAGTCTATCAATGGTGTCAGGATCTTCCTGTAAATCCATACCAATCAAAAGGGTACCTTAATTCATTAGCAAAACAATCAAAAGGGTACATTTATCCAATAACAGAAAATGCAGCCAAGCTAAATAATCAAAATTTTAAACTGAATGAAAAAAATTCAAAAGTAATCGAATCCAAATGGAAAAAATAATAATAATAACAACAATAACAACAAAATTTGGGGAAATTGAATAAAAGGGAAGAGACCAACCACATGCTTGTTGGTTTCGAACCTCTCGCGGAGGGCATCAGCCTGAAAAAAAAAAAATAATCAGACAGCGATTGAAATCGAATGCAATGCAACGGCTGATGGATGGTTGTGATTGAATAATGAAGATTGGAAAGGGGGGCGGAGAGCGCGAGTACATCTGGGTAGAAGAGGTGGCGGTGAACGGCCCAGTTGAGAGTGTCTCTGAGGGCTCGCCTGTAGAGGATCCGAACCTTCTCCTTCTGAGCTGCTCGACGAGCTACGTACGCTGCTGTTGACACTCCGCTCATCTCTCTCTCTCTCTCTCTCTCTCTCTCTCTCCCAGCACTCTTTCGTTGTTTCAGCCTTTCGTCAGATGAAATTTGACGACGAAATGGCTGGCAAAACGAAGTCGTTTCCTTTCTGGGCTGAACGATCTTAACGTAATTGGGCTGGGCATATTGTACCAGGAACCGAAAACTCATCCGGATTCGAACCGGTCGATTTGGTTTTCTTGGTTTTTCGATATGAAACCAAACCTATTCTCTAATTATACGATTCGGGACCAGTTTTGAATACTTTGAAGGATATTACTATTCACACACATCTTTTTATCTCTTACATACTTTTATTAATTTTTGTCAATTGATTTTCTTCAACTCATTTGACTAGACCGTCGAAAATTGAGAGGGGTGTTTGAGAGTTAAAAATAGATATTTAAATAGCACCATCATAATTTGAATCGTATCAATCGAACCAAATTGAACCGAATTTTTTTAAATTGATTTTGTTACGCGTCAGGCTTCTATTGGGTAAGGCCATACTTCTAGCATGAACTTGTCGAACCCAGATCTTCGAATCTACAAATACTGAGCCTAAGGATCAAATGATCCAAGCCGTTGAAATTTGATCAAACAGTTACAATTATTATAACTTTTAGCGGACCCCCTATTTGTAGATGTTGAATCAAATTTCAACACCCTGGATTATTTGATCGTTAGACTCAGTTTTTGTAGATCCGGCAAAGATCTGGGTTCGGACTTGTCCACACTTCCAATCAAAGAAAAAACAAGCAAATTGACTTTTCTATAACACAAGTGAACCATGACGGAAAGCCTTCCTACCTCCTCAATCATCCACCCTTGTTCTAGTTCTTCGCTTCCTTCCTCAATCCCTTGTTCGAAGTTTGAACTTTCAACGTACTATAAGTCTACAACAATTAAAGTTTCTGGGAATGCAATTGGGTTAAAATTATGGGTTTTGTGAACCCAAATTAACAATAAAACCATACCTTGGTACGGGCTAGTTTGGTATTGTTGTGCTTTTCTAAAAATAAATTATTTATGCTATAATGTGAGAATAAACAACTGTAAAATAAAGTTGTTGATTGTTTGGTAAACTTTTTTTGTAAAAGTGCTTTTAATAATAAAAAGCAATGTTTGAGTGTTTGATAAACTTTTATGTAATGTGCTTTGAATATATTAAATGACTAAAAGAATGTGGTATTTAATGTGATATAATCAAAGACAATAATATAGGGGCAAAGATTGTAATTTTGTAAAACATGGAGGTATATTTTATGTTTGAAAATTTCATTAAATGAGCACTAATTACTATGTTTTGAAGAAAAAAAAAACACTT